AAGAAGTTCCCTAAAAGTTCAGACTGACTTTAAGCTACCTTTTCTCGGAAAAACATGTCATCGAGACAAATTTTTAACTTTCAGTATCAGATGTGATTTCTCTGGTTCCTTGTTCTCCTGAACTATTTCTTATTTTGGTGAGGATATTTTGGGTTTTGTCTGGGGCATGGAGAGGCAGGGGAAGGTTACCAAGATGTGTTTAAAAAGTAAACTTGGACCCTGCCTGGTGGTGCAACGGGTTAAGATGCAGCACTGCAAGCTAGCCATAACCACTTCAGTGTGAGTTCAAGCCCCCACCCCAGAGGTGATCCATATGGCATGGCAGACCTCCCCTGATCCTTGACTGCTCCCCTCAGCAATGTACTTTGTCAGTCGGCCTGTTCTGCTCCCCACTCTGTCTCTGGTGAATCCTCTCACCGCCCCTGCACCTCTGGCTTGTACTCAGTTCTGTATGCGTAAATAATTAATAAATCTTTAAAAATAATAAAAATAGAAAGTAAACTAGCTTTTTGTTTCACTGGTTTTGAGCAAGCAGCTATGGGGCTTGGCTTTGGTTTTTCGAAGGCCGATGTTTAAGCAGCTGAAATCACAGTCACCAAGTGCCTTTCACAGCTCACTGGACCCTAAGCCAGGAGACCATTAAGGATTTGTAGTTTGTGATAACAATGGTGGCTGCACCATGGGGAATGTTTTGGCAAGGTAACGCATAAGCTGTGATGTGACTGCTCAGATCCATTGTTGAGACTGTGAGGAAATTAATTTGCAAAAATATCCAGGTCTGTTGCATGTTCTACTCTATATGTAAATGAGAAGATTGTGTGATGATAGCATGCAAACATTTTCAGACAATTTGTCCATTAATTAGAGTGATTCTCACTTAATTTTGGTTTTTCTGTTTTGGTTTTTGTCTCAACAATAAGTTGTACCCCTCAAGCTATAAAAAGACAGCTTTAGCTAATAAGCCATAGTAACTGATGCTTTAAGAAATAAAAGAACTGAGAGAAAAATAATTCAATGGTGATTCTCTAAATTTGGAAGTGGAAGCAGGACCTTGTTAATAATCAATAAGGGAGGAAAGTTAAGTGTCAGAACCAAGAGGACAGATAAGGGTCCTGTACAGATCCAAAAGGGAGTTTCTTACTTGATGTCCTAAAGCCTTAGCTCCGTGTCTAATATGCAGGCAAGTCCATTGTGACTTCCAGGTCACAATATGAATGGGTGTTCCACGGCCAACTGTACTCACAGGCTTCTTCCTAAAGCATTTCCCTGATCCTAGATCACACCACCTTTAACGATGGATTTCTGGCCCTTGTGGCACCAGGAGCCCCTGGGTTAACTCTGCCTCTCTGATCAGCGTCCTCACACTGAACACTGCTTCTGAAAGAATGGCCTTCTCACATCTGGACCAGAGCCTTACTGAGCTCGGATGCTCCCAGGGCCACCCCTGGTGCATCTGTTCCTGGGCAGCATTCCCAATGCTCCTCAGGGCCTGCAGGAGACACCCAAGGAACATCCTCACTTGCCTGGGTGAAGCCTTTATTCTACCAGACCTTTATGTCTACTTTACTCCACTGTACTTGCTTTAAAAAGCCCAACTTTTTAGGATGCTTGAGGATGGCTAACACTTAGAGCAGTCAGATGTGACTCTTTGTTCTTGAGAGTTATTTTAACTGGAAAATAGGCATGAATGTTACCCTTGGTTTACCTGGAGAAAAGTGGTATCAAGTCTTCTAATAGCCACAACAATTAATTCTGAAAATCTCTGATTACAACAGACTTCTCATGTGTGCAAGCCCGCTGGGAGCATTTGGACATGGGGGTGCAGTGGCTGTAGAATCCTAAACTCCTGGGGATCTCCTGGTCCCTCGTTTACCCCTCCCTCTCCCTGACTGTGGGGCCTGGGGCCGAGACTTCATCCTCTCCCCCTGTGGGCATAAATGTCACACATGTGGTTAAGTCAGATGATCTCTAAGGTGGCTTCCATTTCTGAAAGATGTTAATTTATGGTTGATTTAAACTCTGCAATCCATGATGAATAAATTTAAATACTCCTTCAGAAACAGAGCTATAAGGGACACAGCTGAGCAAGGGAGGGCTTTCTCAGATGTTCCTCAGTTGTCTGAGCAGGTGGTTAGAACTAGACACATAGGCCTTGATAGTGAAGTGGGGACATAAAACCCCAAAACTGTTGGTCATAAAGAATACCATGCCCAATAAAAGCAAAGGCAGATGTTCATATAAAGTTTTTGCTGTTTGTGTTTTCGTAGGGATACTTTTTGGATGAGAAGTTTATTAGTAAGGCACAGAAGCATCTGCCTACTCCTGGTGCCATAACAGTCATGCAACTCATTTATAGGGTTGGAATTATTTTTGTTAATGATTTTCATGGGAGTAGATGAAATGCAATATGCACCAGCTGTAACTACGTTTATCATGAGTTGTCTTATAGGAAAGGCCCCCCAGACATCGACAGTCTGATTGTCAAAGAGGTTATTACCTCACTGAGTTTTAAAAACAAGTGTGGGCTGTATTAGTTTCCTATTGCTTCTATAACAAATAATCACAACTTAGTGGCTTAAAACAATAGGAATTCACTATCTCACAGCCCAGGAGGTGAGAAATCCAAAATTTTGGGGGTTAAAAAATCACAATCTTAACAGTCCATTGTTCTTTCTGGACATTCTAGGGGAAGAAACAGTTGTTAAGCTCCTTCCAGTTTCCACAAGCTGCCTTGGCTTATATCTCCTTCCTCTGTCTTCAGAGCCAGGATCTTCTGTCTTCTCTGACCACTCCATCTTTAAATCTTTTCTATCTCTCACCCTCCTCCATCTTTCTCTTTAAAAAGAATCTCATGGTTACACTGGGCCCACATATATAATCCAGCATAAATCTCCTCATCACCAGATCCCTAACTTTATCATTTCAGCCAGATACTTTCTATCACATAAGGCAATAGTCTTGGGTTCTGGGGTTAGAATATGAACATCTTTTAAGGTACCCGTTATTCATCCTACTGCAGGGGCCATAGAGGCCACCCAAGGTTTAGGAGACAAATGATCTATCTATGATCCCATCGGGAATCTGTGGCAGCACTGTGATCATGACCTTGCCATGCTCAGACCTGCCATGTTTAGGTTCACTGCTAACTAACTGGGGTAAAAGGAGGCATTATTGTCATAGCAGACTTAAAATGACAGAGGAGTAAGTATAGGATTAAGTGAGTGATTTGAAAATGAGTCATTTAGGGAATACAGAGTTTATATATTTTAAAATATACTTTCAGTGCAAGAGTTTTCTTCAATATTATAATTTTGCACGACACCTTCTACAGATGTTGGTGATTTGCAGTGATAACAGAGCTTATGTAATGAAGGGAAATGACAGGGCCAGGGAGCCCTGGTTATTCCTTCCACTGCACCTTCCAGTCCTGTCGCTCTTTTCTCCCTCCACCCCTCTAGTCACTGCTGCCATTGTGAAAGTGAGTTTTGGCTGAAAAGCTGATGAAATTCTTTAATGGGGCCACCAGAGGCTTATTGGCATCACTATTTTCACTGTACTATGAAGTCTACCTCTTTTTGGCATTGAAACATTTTTCTAAAGATCTAAGGAACATGTTTTGAGTTCTCCTTCCACTTCTGCCCAACTGTTTGTAGCAAACAAAAGGGTCATAGAATTTGGGTGTTCAGATAGGAGCAGACATGCCATTTATCCCAGTTTCCCTCTTGAATTATGGGTTTTATTCAGGATCTTTGACACACGTTTGTCAGACTCCACTCTTAGCTCGGTTTTCTCCATTCATGAGATGGACAGGAACAATAGTTATTACACACTAACGGGTGCAATAAATATGAGCTCCTGACAGGAGGAGTGGGTTGTGACTTGATCGTTAGACTCCTCTAGAAATCACGCCCTAACTTCCCGCCCATTGCTACAGGGCTTGGTGACCGTTCTCTAGAGCCTAAAAACACACTGAATCTCATCCTGCACTCCCCACCCCAGCCCATTGTGGAAATTGTTCTTCTGAATATCTTTCTTCCCCGAAATTCAGCCTAACCCCAAGTTGGATACATAATAGGAGCTTTTTATGATACCCCCCCCCCACCGTAGACGCTGTGGGTAGATGAATGAATGAAGGATCTGTAATCTTAGGGGATGTGGAGAGCATGTGCCCAGTGGAGACAGAAGTGGGCTAGGGAAAGGCTGAAGATAACTTTTCACATCTCCAGTAATAGAAAATTAGTAGGTGGCTCCCTCGGCTATGCAAACTTTCTTAAATAGAAGAAACAGGACTGAAAGTTGCAACAGAAAATCTATACTTCAATAGATGCTTTAATGAGATACTGAAAATGAGGCCTTATTTTCCCTTTAGATAGTTGCACTCAGCACTCAATGTCATTTTTTTTTTTTTTCCAATCAAATGTGTGTGTTTCAGCTGCTGGTACATCAAGTTAATGACACAGTGCTGGACTAAACAATGACAAAGTCAAGTTGCCAAGCTCCTGTCTGGCACTGATCAAGGCTCATAAATATAATTCACCCCCTCAATTTGGTCTTGACAACCCACAGAGAACACCTTGTACATGTCAAATGCCACTTTTTTCTATCTAGGTCATGCTTGATTCTCATGTCTTATTCCAAAATGGGAAAATGGGCATCAACTCAAGAAGTGCTAAAATTTTGGTGTATCTCAGACATGTCAAAGATGATGTGACCAGCTTATGCTATCTTCTCGTGAAGACTTTCATGTAACTTACTCACCAAAGACGCCACAGCATAAATAGGTCTGAAACAAGGAAATTTTATCTTAAGAGATCATGATATAGGACACAGAAAAATGAACCAAGAGTCAGGCTGGGAAAATCCTGCAGTAACACCCAGTCTCAGTGGATGGGAAACTTAGTGTGGTTGTATGATTTTTGCCACTTTTGTGCCATAACTTATTTATATTGTATCTCCCCACTTCTACTCAACCTAATCCTACAATTTCTTTTTCTTCCTAGTTCCTTCTTTCTGGGGATTGGTGAACTCAGCTTGGAATCTCTGCTCTGTGGGGAAACGTCAGTCACCAGTCAACATAGAGACCAGTCACATGATCTTCGACCCCTTTCTGACACCCCTTCGCATCAACACTGGAGGCAGGAAGGTAAGCACCCAGGCTTCCAATGTGAAGCTGGGAAGAAGCGGAGGAAATGCTGATGAGAGCCACCGTGTTGGGGAGAGGAGGAGGAGATGGAGATGCTGATCGAGAGTCAGTGCTCCAAGCTTTGATCTTTGTGATGAGTTTGTCTTTCTACCTAGGAATAATACCACAGCCCCCAAGCCTACTGCCAACAAGTAGAAGTACTTCTAAATTGTGCATTTCTCTCCCTAGCTAGGCAAACCCTTGTGTTTCTAATTAGGTTGCACCCTGGGTGGCTGCCTGAGGTCTTGTCCCTTGGGAATCCAGAAGGCCAAGAAACAGCTGCCTCCCTGCATCGCAGGCTGGAAAGCCTCCTAACGGGGGCTTCTTTTAACCCCAACAAAGTGAAAGTAAAATTTTTAACAAAAGTGAAATCGGACGTTTATCATCCTAGAAGGAAAAAAAAATACGCAAATACCACCTCAAATGATTTATAAGAAAATCAATAATTAATATTCCTAGGGGCATCTTGTTGCCTAAGAATCCCAGTTCCTGCTAGAACTGCTGAGCTGGGCTTTGCACTCCAGGAACACTCGCCTCCTTTCCTCCTCTCCTCCAGCATGGTGAGCTCCACCTCCGTTTAGGGCCGGCCTGCTGTCCATAAGGTCTTCTCCTTGCTGGTGTCTCGCATTTCTCTTGCTATTTCATTTCTGTTTGGCTTCCTTTTACTGGAGTACACTGTTGACGGTGGGAAAAGCACACAGAGAAAATTGTGTTTGAAGGTGATTTAGCTCTTGTGAGCTCAAGAGGAATGGAAAGTCATTTGTGTGCAAGGAATTGGAGTTAAAATTATAGGCAACTTTTGTAGCTGTGACAACTGATTCTATTTGGTTTGTGTTCTCTAGGCTCTGCTCTCTCTCCTCTACTCAACACAGAGCTTGGGCAGAATTCGCTGTGACAGAATCTGATTTTTCCTGTACCTAACTGTTACTAAGGAAAAACCAAATCTTAAAAAAAAAAAAAAAAAAAACTAATGATTCCTCAAAGAGTTGTTAGTGATTTTGACTCAGGTTGCAGGTTTTAAAAGATAGTTATGTGTGATTGAGGCCCCTGGGCACTGTGATATTTATGTTTTCTTTTAAAGATAACTTGGGACTTTTTCTTGTAAATAAGTTCTATGTTGTCATGTGGTGTTTTGTTGTGATTCCATAGGAAACTGGCCTACTCTATTGTTCCATTAGCAATTTTATTTTTATAAAGCCAAAAAGGAACTTCATATAGTTTCTATATACCTTTCTCTGAAAAGGTGAATTATTCAACTGAGTAAAGGTTTGGTATTTCATATGGGAAAGCTCGCATTTTTACTAAATATTTTTCCTTTCTTAGAGAAGGTGATGGAGGAAATAACTTTTAGTCTAGGCAAGGAGGAGAGAAGTAAAAAATCCCAAAACAAATACAAACAAACAAAAAAACATCCTAATGATTCCTCAAAGAGTGGTTGGTGATTTTGACTCAGGTCATGGGTTTTAAATGATGTTACATGTGATTGGCAGGTCATATTTGTGTGCTCTTTTTTTTTTTTTTTAAGATTTTATATATGCATCCAGACGTAGGGTTCAGGCCAGAGGTGCAGGGGAGGTGAGAGGATTCACCAGAGACACAGTGGGGAGCAGAACAGGCAGATAAAGGAAGTACACTTCTAGGGGGAGCAGCAGGTGGGTCAGGAGAGGCCTGCTGTACCACGTAGATGACCTCTGAGGAGGGCGGGGATAGAACTCATGCGGAAGTGACTTTAGCTTCTTAGTGCTGTGCTTTAACCTGCTGCGCCAGCAAGGAGGACCTTGTGTGCTCTTTTAAAGATAATTTGGAAAGTTTACTTTATTGGGAAAGAAGAGACTGGAAAATAGTCAAAGGTTCAAAATCATGCATGTTATATTTTGTTTCAGTGTTTATTTGTTGTTGACAAATGTTTTTTTTAATATTTCCAATTCAGCAAAGTGTACCTGATCCAAATTAATTTTCAAATGCATTGGAGTTTGGAATTTTGGAAACATTTACTTTTGACGATGTAAATATTTATATCTGGCACGATTTGTGTTGTCAGCTGTTTGCAGAGCTGAGAACTGTCTGATGGTTCCCTTCGCATTTGTGAAAGGTGGAAAATAAAATATAGATAGTAGTCTGTTAGGCGAACTAGTAATGAAATGCCTGGACTTGATAGACAATAGATGAATCATATTTCTAAGTTGTTTAAAGGTGTTGTTCAATGAGTTGGAGACTTATTTTGGAAATGATATTCAAATCACTGCTCTGAATTTGCTTTTCCTTTGAGAAATGTGTATCCAACCCAAAAGTTTCAAAAACCACCCTGCTAACCTAGGAAGGTTTGTAGGATTTCGACAAGGGGCTGATTTTGAAGTCTGGGGTTAGCGATCAACATTTTAAGTGCACCCCAGCAATGACATGTCTTATGTCACTTTTTTAAAAACCTATGTGCATGATTCCTGTCCATGTTTAAATTTGCCTTATGCTCAAATCCAGGAAGCAGCTCAGTCTCAGTCCCTGGTTTGTGTTACTGCCTTCAGGGCTTTGAACCACAGCAGAAATTCAATCTTCAAACAAGGATACAAAGAAGTGAAATAGTGGCATGAGAATCAAAATATATTTGTGTATGGAATATACTAGAGGATAATTTTTCTACTTGAACAATGAGATTAGCTTTTCCCTTTAAGTTCCTTATTTTTCAAAGATTTTTTTTAAGTAATATTTGTTTCACTTTTTGAAGGAAAGTGCTTTCTATAAGATATCTCTATCTGGTACACAGAATTTTTTTAAAGATATATTTATTTATGCATACAGAACTGGGGTACATGCCAGAGGTGAGGGGTGGTGAAAGGCTTCACTGGAGACAGAGCAGGGAGCAGAACTGACGAAGTACACTGCGGAGGGGAGCAGAGGGTGGGTCAGGAGACGTCTGCTGTGTCATGTGAGTCATCTCCAGGGCCTGGGATTGAACTCCTGCTAAAGTGGCTTTAGCTTCTTAGTGCTGCATTTACCCGCTGCACCACACAGAATTCTTATGGGCAACATCCAAGATAATTGTATTTTCTAAATAGTTTGCACTTGTGGCTGATTTGCATATGAATGTAAGGGTCCTACTGGAATTAGTCTCTCCCACCCTTGACTCCATTAAACTTAACTCCCAATTGTCTAAATATTTTTTTTAATCTTGGAGTTAATTATCCGTTATAGATAAAACTACTAAATCAACTCAGGAATCAAAAGAGGGAAGGGTGGAAGTAATTATTTCTTCCTGGTTTCAGATCATGTAAAGTGTCAATTGATGAGAAATTGGATTATGAAATAACTTGTGTTTTAAGATTAGTTCAAGTCTGATAGACTTTAGAGATCTTTATTCATCAAGATCAAATATACATGATGTGTTTGTGGATATATTTTCATGTATTATTACATAAGTTAACTTCTTGGTAACTAGAGAATAAAAATACAGAGGGAGACTGTTACCACATAATGAAATAGTCTCACTTGATCATTCTGGGGTGTAGTAAGGCCTGGAGCCTTCCCTCTTCCAGGTGGGCACTGGAGAGTTGTGGGTTAAGATGCCAATTTAGCTTTCACGTAGGACATGGAGTCATAGGTAACATATCTGTTCATCTAAAATAAGAAAACAAAAAACATAAAAACGGATTCTAAACACCTTGCTGAGTCTAATATCTTAACCAAATATTCATCACGGCACTTTTTGTAAGCCACCCACTAAGTCTTCACGTGCCATCCAGAAAGCCAGACTCTGAAGTGTATTTTCGCAGTTTCTCAAGATAGCCATCAAGAGAATCAACAGGATTGGTCCCCTAAACATCAGCTCTGAGAATGGCTGGAGTGCTGTGATTATAAATATAAGGGGCAGGAGGAAGGTAGAGGTACAGGATGTGAAGGAAGTTGAGGGGAAGGTTGTAATTTCAGGTACAAGAATTTCCATTATCCCGCAACTGACAGCAGAAGTTTGTTTTTGATGTTACTGTCAACCTTAAAGAAGCACAGGGGATTTTGTAGCACAATCAATTTTTTAGATTTTGGGGAATACAGCTGGGGAGAAATGCATTAGCTGGAAGTTGAAGGTTAACCCCAAGGAGGAAGTAGGGGGACCAAAGAACAAAGGGTAATTAGAACGTGATTCCACTTAGTCCTGATTTTTAGTCTAGAGGAGTTTCTGTTACGAAATAGAAAGTATCCAGCTATATTTTCTCATTTTAGCTCTTTCGATAAAATGGACACTTCAGTAGATAATAGCATGAGAATTTTTCATATTATGTTAAATATAAAAGATGGAATCTAAAATCATCCATTTAACGACCCCAATTGTACTTAAAATGTGTTCGTGATATAAGAGACTAGAGATAGAAGTCAATTTTCTTTCTACTTTTCTAAAGTTTCCGGATTTAAAAAAAATGTGCATTAATTTAATAGCCTTAAATTATGCCTTAAATAATTTTTTAAATTACATACATAACTGGGGTATAGACCAGAGGCTCAGGGGCGGTGAGAGGATTCACCAGAGACAGAGTGGGGAGCAGAACAGGCAGATCAATGAAGTACACTGCTGAGGGGAGCAGCAGGCGGGTCAGGAGAGGTCTGCCACGCCATGTAATCACCTCCGCGTCAGGAGTTCTAACTCCCACTGAAACAGCTGCTGGTAACTTGCAGTGCTGCGTCTTAACCCTCTGTGCCACGAGGGAGGGTCGCCCCAATTTTTTAACTCATCTCTCCATTTTAGAAAAAAATATACTTAGAATTGATAAACATAGTATTAATCCCCCAAACCTGTCATTATGTTTTATCTTAAATTTAAAAAGGTATTTTGAAGATGTAATTAGTGAAGGATCTTAAAATGAGTTTGTGCGACATTTCCTAGGTGACTCACTGTAATCAAAGCATGCTCGTAAGTAAAAGACAGGCAAGGCCAGTGACTGGGTGAAGACAGAGGAGTGACCAGAGTCTAATAA